AAATAAAAAAAAATCAGTTGGTCCTTTATAATCATTACCTATTGTTATTTTAGTATTCAAAGCCTCTTAAACTTATCATTCTTTTTGACTTGATGATGACAGTAACTATGAAACGTCGTCGACAAGCTTTTTTTTTAGCCTTTTTATCGTAATTTTTTATCCTCAGATGTTTTTCTCCTCCTTTGTCTTTTATTTATTACTTCAGTATTTGTTAATTGTCTGGTTATTTTCTCATTTATTCATCTATCCATCTATTTGTCAATTTTTTTTTGCCATAATTTATATATTTGTGCATTTTCTTAATTATTTGTTTCAAGAGGACTCAGAGCTGTTTTAACTAGCTGGTGCTCAAAAACGCTTCCACGACTTCAGTCTATTTATCAACAATAGTGCAGAACGAATCCTTTCTTGAATGTACATGTATACGTAGAAACAATCTGCGACACTGGATTGAACGTTTTCAGATTCTCCCATGATCCCATTGATCAACGTGACCAAAGACGGATATCTTAAAAGAAACTTCCTTCGGAATAGGATGAAAAAGGGATTTGGTTTTAAAGCCACTCCATAAATTTCAACTAAAATTATTGAGATGGCAACAAAATTATTTACAGTTACAGAATGGTAAAGCTAGCTTTAATATCACTGTTGACGACATTAAGACCACCCCTGGACTTCCGTGGTTCCCGGATGGTCGGAGACTCCAGATCGAGGCCGATGTCGTCGAGAAAACTTCTGGAAAGAAAGAGAGTGCAATAGACAATGGAATTTACTTCGTCAAATCTCCCTTCAGGATTGATCACAAAGCAACTGCTGAGTTCTTTAAACCCGCTCTTCCTTTCCTAGTCAAGGTAGGGAAAGCTATTACACTTCCTTAAAAAATTACAACACTCTGATGTTGTGATGTACTAAACCTTTTACTTGATGTGATAGGTCTCAACAATGTCACTCCGTCACGGACTTACGCAAATCTTCTTTGAGCGTAAAGAGTACGGTCATCCAAACATGAAATTATGATTTTCACTTTTTGTCCAGCAAACTAAAGGAACAAGCCGAAGGAGAGCAACCTTTGTCTAAAAAATTGAAATTTCAGTTTCCATCATTTTAGTTAATATTGTTACACTGGAGAGAATGTCGCGTTAAACATCTCTTACGGTTCTTTGCTTAGATGAAGGGTGAGAATAAACATGAATGATATCCACTATACTTGGGTGATATACACTACACATCCAAGGCGCTACGTAGACTAAATCTAAACAAGCACAAAAAAAACTTGTTTCATATCAAAAACAGATATAACATCGGTTCTGGCTCTGTTGTCATTGACAGGTCGACCTGAAATACCCAGATAAAACGCCAGCCCGTGGAGTCCCAACGTCCATTTCGGTAACTGGAACCACGCACTCTGGGAGCGAAATTGACATAGGGAAGGTTGCGAGTAAGAGAGACAACGTGAATTTTGAAGACGCGACTGACAATCAGGGACGAGCCAATTTCGTCATCGACGTACCAGGAAATGTCAGAAAAATGAACATCCGAGTGAGTATTTAATAACAGCAAGCAATGTTTTATATTTCAAACTTTTGTCAGCTTCAATACTTAGGAAAGAAATAACAATATTCCGGCGCAAGGGTAGAGATGTCAACTATTACGCCCAATGAACTTGTTACAGTTATAATTATATGAATAGTACTCGTGTGTCTTTTAATGCAGGTGGGAACAGAAAAAGACGATTTCGACCATAACACTTTTGTAGAGTTTGATGTTCAGGCTTACGAGTCTCCTTCAAGAACATTTTTGTACGTCAGGGCCATTAGGGTAAGTTTTCCCTTAAATTTTTCTTTTTATGTCTTTTTAGGATACCATTAGGTAGCCGAACAGCTAGGCTAGTAATGCGCATTTTGATGTACGCCCACGATCTTCTCTATCGCCATTACAAAATCCATGAAAGTTCCTTAGCAACACTTGGGTTGGAAACAGAGTTTCCTTTCAATTGTGTAAGTTCTGTTGCTGTTTGAACGTTTATCTGTTATCTTATCTTTGAATCATTCTAACGGGCAAGGTATACTTTTTGCAATTTACTTCAGCACTCTCAAAGTATTTCAAGATTGAACTTACAATTTGATTTCCACTGTAATATGCCATTTCTTCACCTTAGGAGAAGCAGTATTTTAACTGTGATGTGTTCGTTAACAAGAAAGCCTCAAAGATCACCTTCATGGTAATTGCACGGTTACTTTGTTGAACTATTTCATGATGGGTTAGATAGATCAATCCAGATCAGGTATCATTTTTGAGTCCATTGCAAGCATACAATCAACAAAATTCTTAGCCCTTAAGGATGATTTGAACCTTCAACACCAGAAGTGGGGAACTCTATAAGTGAACAAAAGAATAATTGTGGCGATAGGCCCATATCATTGGTTCGTAAGTGTAATGCGTTTCACTTCCCGTTAATATCAGGGCGGAATGTAAAAAAACGTCTTTTGAGGGTGAGAAGAAAGAAAGACGGATAAAGTAAGCTGAAGTAATAATTATCATTTCTATTGCGCAAATTAACATATAGATACGATCAAGTGCGCATCACAACACTTTTCGGGGGACTTTGGCCGGACTGCATCAGCAGTTTACGATCAATGGAAGGAAACTTATGATGATGCCCCCTCCCCTCCTCCTCCCCCAATTCCCAGTAAACAAGCCAGACCACATTACAGTAATCTCGTGAGTGGGCTCTTTAACGTCCCTTCCCTAACCAAATTAACTAATTAATAGATGCAGGAGGCAGGACCTACGGTTTATTCGTCCTTATCCGAGATGACTAGAATGTCTATCCATTTCTTGATACTATAGAAAGGTAGCGCACATTCTCTTCAGTTATTTTAAGACCTTGAGTGTTGGTCCGGCCAGGGTAAGGCTTTCTTAGTCAGAGAGATGCTACGCAATCAAAATTCTCCTTATTCAAAGAAAGAATCATTTTTCCTTATACATCCTCGATTACATATGGGCATAATTCCATAATGAAGACATAAATCTTTTAGCTTGATGAGTTGTTTTGAATAAACATCGCAATATGCTAACATTGCACTAGTTTAACGTCAACCTACCGTGCTACAGTTTGATTTTCATGTTATTCTCTACCACTTTCTATTTCTTTTCCATTTTTTTTTTAATGATTTTCATCAGGTAATTGCACGCGGCAGGATGCTACGTCAATGGGTCAAAGTCCAAAGGGTGGGGGTGATATCCAGCTTCCGGTTCAAAATTCTGCCAGAAATGTCTCCATCATCGCGTCTAGTGGCCTTCTTCATCGGAGAAAACGGTGAAGTTGTTTCAGACAGTGTATTGCTTGAAATTGACGATGGACTACCAAATAAGGTAGGTCACATTATAAGGAAAAGGGACAAAGGTCATTGTACATGGGAAGTATTTTATATGGGCTTTTTGATTTCGGATACTGTATACTTTTCATGGCATAGAGAAAAAAAAGTGCCAAGTGTTAATAACCAATATTTTTCATGATAGTGGACTTGTGCCACATAGACACTTAAGTTATTGTTCTATTCAAGTGGGACCTTTAAGTGAACTACACATCATGCAAGTTTCATCCCTGAAATAGATTTAGAGTTTAGAGATACAAAAAGTTAATCAGAGCCCTCTATTTTATGATCAAATGATACTATCATGGCAGATCAGAAATCTATGTATATAAACGACACCATAAGGCCGGGATTTCTATAACCGAAATTGGTGGTTGGGGAGGGGGGGGGGCTACAGTAACGTCTAACTGGCTTTCTAGGGTTATGCGAGGTTGGACGAGGTTGGACAATAAAATTCGTCAATTTATCACATGCTATCCTCCCTTTAAGCTGCGCCCTTCAAACTTCGTAAAAAGATTGTTCTAAGAATTACTTTATGTTATTGCGCCTGCTTGCTCTTGTCGTGATTTAGCCACTGACTTTGTGATCCTCCTTCCCCAGGTTGAATTTAACGATGAATCACCGGGTAAGCAAAAGAATCCAGGTGTTCCTTACAAGATTCAGTTATCGGCAACTCCTGGGACGAGAGTCGCACTTCTAGCTGTCGACAAAAGTGTTTATATCCTCAGAAACCGAGAAAAGCTCAACAAGAAAAGGGTATGGAAGAGGCAGTAAAATAATTTTGTGGTTTGTAATGTGTCACTGGAAATGATTGCAAAAGACTGATATAGTAAATGGACAAAAGTCGTTTTTAAAATAACTGCCGTAAAATAAATGCTAACACACATCGAATTGAAATGTATTTGTCCATTATTAATTTTTATACGCTCTTGCAGTTTTGGAAGCCCTTATGCAGTTTAGGCTTGGAAGGAGGGATTTTTCATCTAAGTGAGCTCTAACCAAGCATATATAGCTATATATTTATTTATATATACAGGTTCGGTGGCGACCGGGCGTCTTAAGAGCTTTGTCTTTTTTTTTTAATGACTCTTTCATAGAAAGAAGTGGAAAGTGTAAGTTTTGTAAGGTAGAGATGACCACGAACTCTTATCATTCAATACACTTTTAGGTATTAAATAGCATGGAATCCCTCGACCTTGGATGTGGCGTAGGGTCTGGTAGCGATAGTCAGGATGTATTCTATGTAAGTGGAACAGTTCATAAATAATTTTGAACGTTGCTCTTCCGCAGGGTTTCATGCGTAAATACCCGCTGAACACTTTGAGGGCAGGCCCGCACCGTTGACTACTCCGTTTACGATTGCGCCCGAACTCTTAGCGTAAAGTACATATTTGCTGAAGATTTGTACACCTGCTTTAGTAAGACCTAGTAACAGATTATCTGGACAAAGTAATTTCTCTTAAAAACCTCTTCGCGAGTTTTGTCTAAGACGACATTTGCATGATTTCGATCACGTAAAATATCAAGCGCTGTGAAAGTTATGGAAGAATTCCTATTAGTGAACGTAATTTCACCATAAAGGGTTACGTACGTTGTTCGTTGCATTCTAACATTTTAACCGCTCAAAAAAACCTTTATTACAGAAAAGTGGAATTGTTGTAATCACAAACACAAACATCGCAAGTAGAGGACGTTCTGGTATGCCAAGAACCTTTCCTTATATTAATATGTAACACCTTTCAATTTCTCAAATTAGAATGATGATATGTTTTCAACTATAAGGCACCGCTTTAAGATATTCATTAATTGATTTAAATGTACGTATTGCACTTTCACACAAATTCTCAGATTATATTCTATGTAATAACTTAATAACTTAATATTTATATTGCGCAAATTAACATGTGAATATGATCAAATGCGCATCACAACACTTTTCGGGGGACTTTGGCCGGACTGCATCAGCAGTTTACAAACAATCGAAGGAAACTTATTTGAAGATGCCCCCTCCCCCCCAATTCCTAGTAAACAGGCCAGACCACATCACAGTAATCTCGTGAGTGGGTTCTTTAACGTCCCCTGCCTAACCAAATAATCTAATTAATAGATGCAGGAGACGGGACCTACGGTTTATTCGTCCTTATCCGAGAAGACTAGAATGTCTATCCATTTCTTGATATTATAGAAAGGTAGTGCATTCTCCTCAGTTATTTTAAGACCTTGAGTGTTGGTCCGGCCGGGGCTCGAACCATCGACCTCGACCTCCCGCACAACAGTCCAGCGCTCTAACCAATTGAGCTAACCTGGTGGCGGTTAAAAGTCATTTGCCCCTTGCGCAGTGGAAAGGGAAAAATACCCCAACCTTATCATGACGATTACAGTAATGATAGGATGATAATTATGAAACTAATCGTTGATCGTTTTCATTTTCTCTCCAGACTTTTCCTGTCCTCAATCAAAAACCAAACGAAAAAGGCGTTCGACCGCAGGTAAAGAATTTTTTAAGAAGCTCAATCTTAATCTTGGCCTTTAAAATGCCTTGGGTTTTGTCCTTACAACAATCAATCGAAACGCACTCAACCAGTTTCGTAAATACCTTGGTTAACATAAGTATCACAGATCGGAGACCAGCCTTTCTTTCCTTTTTTGATTTTTCTCTAAAGAGAGACTTTTATGCACGCCAGGAATTATTACATTTGAATAACTTGTTTCTGACAGGTTTTTGCGGGATAAAAAGCTAAGAATGCTAGATATATGAAAAAACTTGTTAAGTTTTGAGACTACTGACGTTGTTGCGCTTCTGAAGGAGAGTTCAGAGTAAGGGTGACATTTTGTTGAAATTGGGAAACGAGTGATGGCCAGCATTTCCGTCAATGCAGAGCATTTGAAAGAGAGCTTTCGATTCATTTTCTCACGATTTCTGACTGATTTTTATTGTTGTGGTTTCCGCAAATTTTTTAGATTCTCTGTTGAAATTATTCATGATAAGTTCATGATAGAAACAGATTTCACCAACTGCAAAGTCAGCTTCTTCCAAATTTTCATCGAAATTAAAGTCGCAGTTTTCTTTCCTCGTTAGATGTGACTCAGTGCTGTATGAGTGGTCAGATTCCCACGAGAGCGACCTGTATGCTACGTGCGAAGTACTTCTTTGCTAGTGCTAGCAAAGATTGCAGAGAAGCGTTCCTCCAGTGCTGCTTTAATTTTACTGGAGAGAAAGGTAAAACTTTTTACCTAAGCATGATTTCAGTGAGATTGCTTCCCGCTCCTGAACTAAATAAGTATTGCCACTGACCAGCCATTTCAGTTAAGGGCTTGATCGCGCCAATCGAATTAGCTTTGCTCAAGAAGTAACACAATATTCAATAGTTTGTGATTGTCGTGTATACCTGGTTGTCTTGTACACCCGAGCAGTTTTGACTCACGTTAAGTCCCTTCAGTCCTAATCTCACGCTGTTTTCAGACGTATCCGATACAATCTCTAAACGCAGACGATAATAAACACATTTACGTTACAGCAGGTTAAAAAAATTATTGTTTTAAACCTCTATCAATTTAGTGTTGAAGTATTCTCGTTTTCCTAGCGATTTAATTTCTTCTTATGTGGACCATGACGTCTCGCTTGCATTCTGAGTCAGCTGGGTACGCGTCACCCCATAAAGTATGACGCCCCGCTGTGATTGGCCAGTATCATCAGCTGTAATTGATTGGAAGATATGTTCCCACAGCTCTCCTGTTTTTGTTTTCCTTGATTCGTGTTTCTCGGATATCTACTCCATTGTCCTTGTTCATGTTGTTGAGATTATTTCAAACGCCTCTTTTGCCTTGCATGTGTCACAATGAGGTACACGATCAATATAGGTTATTTCGTCCTTGTACGCCAATTGCAACTGTTAAATACTAGCCATTCACATCAGAGCTTAGTTTTTTTTTCCGCCGTGACCTACAATCAGTCGATCTTCATGATTGCCCTGAGAAGATGTTAGCTGTATATGATCATTACGTCTCGATCACACTGGAGGTGATTACATCGCGACACAAACGTTGACACTTTCTAGAGTATTCACCACAACGAATAAGCAAAAACTTCTTTACTCTGTCGATTTGTTCACCAGACCCAAGAAAGACAGAAGTTAAAGTTCGTGCAAGATCATTTAAACAGTCTGACGATGAGTTTGAAGATGAAGAAATCAGTCAGGGGCAAATAAGAAAATATTTTCCTGAAACTTGGATATTCATGGACGATGTTGTTGGGTACGTGAACTCATTCCTTGATGATAGTTCTGTACTTATATTGCCTGTAAATTACGTAATGTGAAGACTGTATTTCCTCGCATAAGTACGCGGGCAGAAGGAAGGTGCTTTAATCAAGCGGGGCGTCTATCATTCAGCTGTACTAATTCCGCTGCAGTTGAATTTTAAAAGTGGTAAATAAAGTGGCAATAGAAACAAGTTTTCCTTGTATCCCTACTATTTAAGAAATTAAGGGAAGATGGAGTGCTTATTCGAGAGGAGCGCGTGTTGCATATTATGGCCTTAAGGATAGGCCTTTATTCGGGGCAGGGAGCTTATTAGAACATTGGCGCCTTTGGAGAAAATACGGTATAAATATTCTGTGGTCAAAATTCCAGGCTTCTTTCTCTTTCAATCTAAGTCAAGGGATCAGAGACATCAGTTGGCTTGGTAGAGCTGATGAGGAAAATTTAGTAACTATATATCCTGGGATAAACACGCAGTGGAAGTGACTTAAACAGAAGACATAATTGAAGGCAAGATGAGTGAATTCATTCTCAGAGTCATTTATCTTGATCATGACTCCCGCTCTCGTTGTTGATCTGTCGGTCTCTGCCACCGACAACACTCTTTTCCATGAAAATCTTTGCCCGGATGATCAGTGTCCAAATAAGTTTTTTGTTTCTTTGTTTTTTGTTTGTTTTGTTTGTTTTGTTTGTTTTGTTTTTTGTTTGTTTATTATTATTTTATAGAACATTACAAGTAAATTTACACAACCCGCATATAGCATTAGCTAGTCTTGGCGGGTATTAGTAATAAATAAGTAAATATTACACATTGGAAGCTAAAGAAGTTTCATTATAAGTACGCAACAGAACCGATATTAAGCTGCTTTCCTCAGGGAAACATAAATTTGCTGTGTTATCCTTATTCGTTCCTCATTTAACTTACTGGAATAACTATGCACTCTCTTTGCTTATAGCCCAAACGGGAAATTTAATCTCTATACAAACCTGCCAGACACCATCACCACCTGGGTTGTACAAGCAGTTGGAATTTCAAACCAGACAGGGTTAGGAGTTGCTCGTCCATTAAACATTCAAGCTTTTAAGAATTTCTTCGTCTCCCTTCGTCTCCCATATTCTGTTCAGCGAGGGGAGCAGATCTCTATCATTGCTACAGTCTTTAACTACGGGAAGTTTGAATTAAAGGTAAGAATATTAGCTTGTCAATGGTTGCTAGTTTGATCTCTCAACTAGATTAAGAGAACTACTGTGAAATTTTCAAATTATCGCCCAACTGCAGTTAAGCATTTTGCTTCGGACGAGCGCCTCCTTTCTAAAAAAATTAAATATTTACAGAATCCTTGAGTTCGGTTGGTAAGTTCTTTTTAATGATTACGACATAAATCACTTTTCGGTTCGATAGTTGGTCAACGTCGTAGCGATTCTCTTTCTGCATCATCTTGGAAATATCCAAATGAATTTTTGGTTCCTTGAGTTCGGGGGCCCAAATCTGTGGGGGCAAATTGTAACTATGGAGAAAGTACGCAGATTTGAGTCGTGTTTCCCTTTTGCCTTTACTGCGACGATCCATAGTAGCTAGCAGTGAAGGAAATGTTATTTTGAAGCTGAAAACAGCCCAGAAGGAAATTATACGCTTACACGTCGCGATTAAGAGAGGGCGTTGGTACGATAGAGAGTCAGAAATGCCGAAGAAGGGAAGTATAGAAGGATAAAGAGGTTTAGGATGGTTAAAGTGCGGAGAATTGAAGACCTTTAAATCAACAAATCAAAGAAATTTCAAAACAGAAGCGGGAATCCTCCATTACTCATGCGGATTTAACATTAAAAGTGACAGACTTGTTTTAAAGCGAAAAAAAGAATGAACAGGGAATTTAGCAAGGGTTAGATGGCAAGTGTATTCCGTATATCGACCCTATTATCTTATAGGTTAAAGTAAAGCTAGAAGAAAGCAAGGAGTTTTGTACCAATGCTCCCACAGGCCAAAAGTCAGCGGTGCTAAACCTGGATATAAAGGAAAACGATGCAGGATCTGTTACATTTCCAATAGTACCCATCAAACTTGGAAAAGTGTTCATCAAAGTGATCGCCACAGCAGAAATTCTTGAGGATGGACTATTTGGGGTTGGAGTAATCGGCCCGACAGCCTTCGACACAGTGGTTCGCAGCATTCTTGTCGTGGTAAGGCCAATAGAAGTCTATTGTACGTTAGATGAGTGCCCTTGGAGGGCAGAGTTGTGCAGTATTCCGGAGATATGTTTCCAAGTTATTCTTTTTATTTATTTCTTCGCAGCCGGAAGGAGTTGAACGACGCGTAACTCACTCATTTCTTCTTGATCCGCAAGGTATTCATTGTGTAGATTAATGAAATCCAACCAAGGAAGTGTATGCAGTTAATAGGCTGACCAGGTGACGGTATAGTGCCTGTATGACATACATAATGATAAAAGAAGGAAAGTAGGACAGAGAGACAAACAGACAGACGGACTGAAAGGATGAACAAATACGCGCGATGTGAGTGTATCGTTAACGAGGGATCGAAAGCTAGTGACAATAACAACAAGTGCTATATACAGAATCGTCTAATATTCTAGCAGACTTGTTAGGGACTGATAGCTGGGAACTCTCTATGAAATGGTACAATTTTCAATATTTATCGTTTAACCAGTTTAAAGAATAAGCGATACAGTTGGTGAAACATGAAAGGGTCAGAATAGAAAACAGCAATCAGATGGTTAATCCCGATTCCATTACTTGAATTTGCCTCTCTTCTTGGCGACAAATTCACCTGATTACCTCTGCGTTTTTCACAGGAGTGTTGCGTGACGAGGCGCCAGACAAAGTCAATACATCTCCTCCTTCAACAGGGATGAAACACGATCGTAAGTGAAGTTATACAACTCTTATGAGGTACCAACCATTCATTCTATTTACACTCAGCTTTCATTTACATGTAAAGGACTGTTTAAGCGTCTACACTCAGCTTTCATCTGTATGTAATGGACTGTTTAAGCGTTTAGTCACTCGAGAAACATTGCTTTGATGACTTGGGCACCAAACAAGTGTCCTTAATGGACCCTCAACCCATACCTCAGTCTATAGCTTTCGTCGGATTTCTTTTCGTTCTTCCACTCAAGTTAACTTAGCCTTAACTAAGTTGATCATATTTAGCCAACGAATATTATTCACACTAGTTACAGTATCTATTTTTTTTTTTAAATTTGCAGGAGTTGTTAATAACGGTATGCAGGTAGACAATGTGTTTCTCAAAGTTCCTTCCCGGGCAATTCCAGGATCACTAAGAGCTGTTTTGTCACTCACAGGTGCGAAGAGGCACGATCATGAATCATCTAGTTATTGCATTTTAGAGTCATGTAGGCCTCGTGTATAATTTCAAATCGTAATTCCAGCCTATTCAATAAATATTCCATTATGAGTGATAATAATTGACCTGATGATGATTGGCAGGGGCTATAGTGTTGATCCGAAAGTCCATGCCATTCCAAGCTGTAAAAGCCTGAAGGTGTCAGTTATTATTCAAAAGCGCCTGACAGGGTGCTCTGCATTCGTAATTATTAAACATATGCATTGGTTACTTATAATCTATTTAGTTGTATCAAGGCGTCGTACCGCACAGAATCTACAAGCAGACCCTTTCAATTATACACTAACTTTATACCGCACTAACCATAACCATCTGTCCTCTTTTCAAGGAAACCTCATTGGCCCGGTCGTGACAACTTTGATAACCGGTGGCCTGGAAAACCTTCTGCACATGCCCATGGGCTGTGGAGAACAGACTATGATATTCCTGGCTCCCAATGTTTATGTAATGCAGTATCTGTTGAGAACCAGACAGGTTACCGCTGAGATAGAATCGAAGGCTTACAGGATGATTCAATCAGGTGAGTAACTGGGATGGACTCTGTCGACGCATTTTCAATTGAAATCATGGAAAGGCTTAACCCAAAAACACACTGCATGAAATACTGCTTTTTTTAAAATGATTTTTTCCAGGATATCAAAGGGCTCTTAATTACCGCAGGAAGGACAGGTCCTTCAGTGCCTTCGGCGAGCATCGCCCCGGTAGCACTTGGTAAGTTGTGAGATACACAAGGCAAGCTAAGTGATAACAGATAGGTGGATAAAGGATGTAAGTTTCTAAAGAAACTGTGGTGCTGAGTCGGTGGTAGGGTTGCTAGAATGATATGCAAATAGGCAGACAGACAAACTGTTAGGAAACGACGACAAAAAAAACGACGACAGAAAGAACGACGACAGAAAAGCATACAAGAGAAACAATGTGCTTTTCGAAAATGAGTTGATAATGTAAATTGACCATTTTATAGAGTTTCTAAAATTGACGTTTCGATCGTTAGCCCTTCGTCAGAGCGAATACAAACGGCAGATAGGCAGGCAGGCAGACAGATAAACAACCAGACAAGGACGACAAACAGGTATACATACGGGTAGGTAGACAAACGGACAGACATGCAGGCAGACAGACAGATATAGACAAGGATGACAGATAAGTAGACAAACAGGTAGTTTAGTAAGCAGACAGACAGGCAAATGGACACAGAAGCAGAAAAGAAACAGCTGAATAAGGTTAACCAATAACCTCATGTCTCCGAACAACAGGTTGACTGCCTTTGTGGTGAGGGTTCTCTGTGCGGCACAAAAGTTCGATGGTGTCGAAATTGACCATGCCCTAGTCTGTGATTCAGTAAGCTGGCTCCTTGAAAACCAGCGACAAGATGGAGCTTTTCCTGAAGTCAAGGATATCATTCACAAATCCATGATGGTAGGGTTTCCGTATAATTTAGTGACTTCGTTTGCCAAACGTTTATTGGACTGCGTGTTTGTTGTTGAAGAGAAATGCCAAGCCGAAGTCTTTCATACTCGAGAATAGCAGTATTGTTTCCATGGTTAGACTTACAAGTTACTTTCTCATAACCATAATTTAACTCTTATTGTCTAGGGTGGTACACATGGCGACGTGGCAATGACTGCTTTTGTCTCAGTGGCCCTCCTCGAATGTGGGTGTCATGGACAGGTAATAAAACTTTTGTTTCCTAATCACTTCTTCTTTAAGTTAATCTATTTTCTTGTGCAAAACATATTGTAAATCTTTTCTTTCTAGAATAAGAGTCACAGGATTCAGAATGCTGTGGCTTTTATGGAATCCGAGTTGGACAGCATCAGTAAAGTTAACACTTTGGCGCTTACCACATATGCCTTGGCTTTAGCTGGCAGTAGGAAGAGCTCTAAAGCAAACGCAAAACTGCTTCGGATGCAGACCTACAACAAAGGTATAAGAACTTTTGTTTTTGTGTTTTAGTTTAAGTTATGATTGCGTATCGAAATTTCTCCGCGATTGCATTGGCTTCGCATCACTTGATCCAGAAAACTCGCGCCACTCTCCTGAACAATCAGATACAAAACCAAGACCAGGCGCGGTTTCATCGCTTGTCCGTTTATTGCGCTTCCGGAAGTCTGCTTGTTAGACTCCCATGATTTTTGCCGCTAACCTATTTTGCATGAGCTTGCAACTCGTGTTTTTCATCTGATAACACAGATTAGAATTATAGAAACTAGCGGAGAAGTAACACAATTTGTGCTTTCAATGGGCAACCCTCGCTTCTAAAAAGATCCTTTCCCGAAACCAGTGTTGATTTTTGACTAAACATATCTCAATTTCAGACAAATCAACTCGTTTTTGGGATGCTGGAAACCAAGCTTTGAACGTGGAAACGACCGCTTACGCACTGCTCGCTCAGATGGCCGTTGGAAGACTGAAGTTGGCAGGACCAATTGTTGCGTGGCTTACTACTCAAAGAGATCCTCAGGGAGGCTTTGTATCAACACAGGTTTGTATTGTATTCAGATTGGTGACTGAAATTTAAAAAAAAACTCAAATTCATGTTCTGAAACTGTCAATGTTCACTCTTAGTTGTTAGAGAAGATTCTGCTTTGGAAGCTTTCTCTTAAAAGAAGCGACTCTAAACGTTCATATATACTAACAGGTTGTGATAA